AAAAAGAGGGAATCCTTCCCAAATCATTTTATGAGACCAACATCATTCTGATACCAAAACCCGGCAGAGACCCAACAAGAAAAGAAAACTTCAGGCCAATATTCATGATGAACATAGATGCAAAAATCTTCAATAAAATATTGGCAAGCCGATTGCAACAGCAAATCAAAAAACTTATTCATCATGATCAAGTAGGATTCATCCCGGGGATGCAAGGCTGGTTCAACATATGCAAGTCTATAAATGTAATTCACCACATAAACAGAACCAAAAACAAAAACCACATGATTATCTCAATTGATGCAGAGAAGGCATTTGACAAAATTCAACAGCCCTTTATGCTAAAAACCCTCAATAAACTCGGTATCGATGGAACGTATCTCAAAGTAATAAAAGCTATTTATGACAAACCAACAGCCAATATCATACTGAATGGGCAAAAACTGGAAGCATTCCCTTTGAAATCTGGCACTAGACAAGGATGCCCTCTTTCACCACTCCTATTCAATATAGTACTGGAAGTTCTAGCCAGAGCAATCAGGCAAGAAAAAGAAATAAAGGGTATTCAAATAGGAAAGGTGGAAGCCAAATTGTCTCTATTTGCAGACGACATGATAGTATACCTAGAAGACCCCATTGCCTCAGCCCAAAAACTCCTGAAACTGATAAGCAACTTCAGCAAAGTCTCAGGATATAAAAGCAATGTGCAAAAATCACAAGCATTCATCTACACCAATAACAGACTTAAAGAAAGCCAAATCAAGAGCGAACTGCCATTCGCAATTGCTACAAAAAGAATAAAATACCTTGGAATACAACTCACAAGGAACGTAAGAGACCTCTTCAAGGAGAACTACAAACCACTGCTCAACGAAATCAGAGAGGACACAAACAGATGGAGAAACATTCCATGTTCATGGTTAGGAAGAATTAATATCGTGAAAATGGCTATACTGCCCAAAGTAATTTACAGAATCAACGCTATCCCCATCAAGCTACCATTGACTTTCTTCACAGAACTGGAAAAAACCACCATGAACTTCATATGGAACCAAAAGAGAGCCCGCATAGCCAAGTCAATTCTAAGCAAAAAGAACACAGCGGGGGGCATCACACTACCGGATTTCAAACTATACTACAAGGCTACAGTAATCAAAACAGCATGGTACTGGTACCAAAACAGAGATATAGACCAATGGAACAAAACAGAGGCACCGGAGGCAACACAACATACATACAACTATACAATCTTTGATAAACCTGACAAAAACAAGCAATGGGGAAAGGATTCCATGTTTAACAAATGGTGTTGGGAAAACTGGCTAGCCATGTGCAGAAAGCAGAAACTGGACCCCTTCCTGACACCTTACACTAAAATTAACTCCAGATGGATTAAAGACTTAAACATAAGACCTGGCACCATAAAAACCCTAGAAGAAAATCTAGGCAAAACTATCCAGGACATAGGAGTAGGCAAGGACTTCATGAACAAAACACCAAAAGCATTGGCAACAAAAGCCAAAATAGACAAATGGGACCTAATGAAACTCCACAGCTTCTGCACGGCAAAAGAAACAGTCACTAGAGTGGATCGGCAACCAACAGAATGGGAAAAAATTTTTGCAGTTTACCCATCTGACAAAGGGCTGATATCCAGAATTTACAAAGAACTCAAACAGATTTACAGGAAAAAAACAAACAAGCCCATTCAAAAGTGGGCAAAGGATATGAACAGATACTTTACGAAAGAAGACATATATGAGGCCAACAATCATATGAAAAAATGCTCATCGTCACTGATCATCAGAGAGATGCAAATCAAAACCACATTGAGATACCATCTCACACCAGTTAGAATGGCGATCATTAAAAAATCTGGAGACAACAGATGCTGGAGAGGATGTGGAGAAAAAGGAACACTTTTACACTGTTGGTGGGAGTGTAAATTAGTTCAACCATTATGGAAGACAGTGTGGCGATTCCTCAAGGCCTTAGAAATAGAAATTCCATTTGACCCAGCAATCCCATTACTGGGTATATATCCAAAAGACTATAAATCGTTCTACTATAAGGACACATGTACACGAATGTTCATTGCAGCACTGTTTACAATAGCAAAGACCTGGAATCAACCCAAATGCCCATTGATAATAGACTGGATTGGAAAAATGTGGCACATATACACCATGGAATATTATGCAGCAATCAGAAATGATGAGTTTGTGTCGTTTGTAGGGACATGGATGAATCTGGAGAACATCATCCTCAGCAAACTGTCACAAGAACAGAAAATGAAACACCGCATATTCTCACTCATAGGTGGGTGATGAAAAATGAGAACACATGGACACAGAAAGGGGAGTACTAAAGACTGGGGTCTATTGGGGGGAAAAGGGGAGGGCCAGTGGGAGGGGGAGGTGGGGAGGGATAGCCTGGGGAGAAAAGCCAAATGTGGGTGAAGGGGAGAAGAAAAGAAAGCACACTGCCATGTGTGTACCTACGCAACTGTCTTGCATGCTCTGCTCATGTACCCCAAAACCTATAATCCAATAAAAAATTAAAAAAAAAATAAATAAATAAAGCTGGAGGCATCACACTACCTAACCGCAAAATATACTCCAAAGCATTGTGATATGGTTTTGCTGTGTCCCCACCCAAATCTCATCTTGAATCGCAGTTCCCATAATCCCCACTTGTCACAGAAGGGAACCTGTGGGAAGTAACTGAATCATTGGGGCAGTTACCCCCATGTTGCTGTTCTTATGATAGTGAGTGAGTTCTCAAGAGATCTGATGGTTTTATAAGGGACTTTTCCTCCTTTTTCTCAGCACTTCTGCTTCCTGCCATCATGTGAAGAAGGACATGTTTGCTTCCCCTTCTACCATTATAGTTTCCTGAAGCCTTCCCAGCCATGCAGAACTGTGAGTCAATTAAACCTCCTTCACTTATAAATTACCCAGTCTCATGCAGTCCTTTATAGCAGTGTGAAACCAGAATAATACACATAGTAACTGAAACAGTATGGTATTGGTATAAAAACAGTCTCATAGAACAATGGAATCAAATTGAGATCCAAGAAATAAATCCATCCTTTACAGCTAACTGGTTTTTGACAAAGGTGCCAAGAACACAGAGTGGAGAAAGGACGGTTATTTCATGCAATGGAGAAAAGACAGTCAATAAATGGTATTAGGGAAACTGCATATCAACCTGCGGAGAAATGAAATTAGACTCTTGCCACACTGGGTATGCAAAAATGAACTCAAAATGGATTAAGGACTTAAATGTGAAGCTCCAAACTATGAAACTACTAAAAGAAAACATAGGGAAACCCTATAGTCTGGTTAATGATTTTTGGGAAATAACCCCAAAAGGTCAAGCATCAAAAGCAAAAGTAGACAGATGAGAGTTCATCAAACTAAGAATTTCTGCACAGCAAAGGGAATAAAAAAGTTAAAAGACAGCCTATGGAATGGGAGAAAATATTTGCAAGCGATACATCTGATAAAGGGTTAGTTAATATCCAAAATACATAAAGAACTCAAATACCTCAGTAGCAAGAAAACAAACCACCTGATGACAAAATGGGCAAAAAACCTGAATAGACATTTCTCAAAAGAAGACATATAAATGGCCAACAGGTATTTTTTAAAATGTTCAAAATCACTCATCATCAGGGCAATGTAAATCTAAACCTCAAATCCCGCTACTGCTTTATCAACTAAGTTTAGATAATATTCAAAATCATTTGTTGTCATTTCAATAATGTTCATAGCATCTTCACCAGGAATAGATTTCATCTCAAGAAACCACTTTCTTTGTTCATCTATAAAAAGCTACTCCTCATCCATTCAAGTTTGATCATGACATTGTAGCAATTCAGTCACATCTTTAGGCTCCACTTTCAATTCTGTTTTTCTTGCTACTTTCAGGACCTCTACAATTACTTTCTCCACTGAAGTCCTGACTCCTCAAAGTTATTCACGAGTGTTGGAATCAAGTTCTCCCAAATTTCTGTTAATGTTAATAATTGATGTCATATGTGAATTGATGTATGTGAATATGCTTTGAATGTTTTAAGTGTATACTTCATATTTCAAAAATCTCTATATATTTTGATTGATATACTACCTGAAATTATCCCTGATCCTGTTTGATATTGTGCTGGATAGCCTCTGTCTTTCTCCTTGTGTCTACTCTTTACCCTTCTTGCCTTGCTCTGCCTCTCTGTGCTGAGCGGAAGAACCACCCAACATCTATGTATGGTTGATACTTGCTTTAGAGTAAAGATTTGGGACTTTTGAGCTGATGAGATGTAGTTGAGGTTCTGGATCTCATCCACTATGTTCACATGAATTATGCACCCTTGTCCTCTGGTTGTGGGTGAGTTCATTTGGTGATAGGCACTGGAAGATGGAAGGCTGGGAGGAGAGTGAGGTCAGGGTATTTATCCCTCCTTCTCTCACACTGCAAGACTGAAGGGCTGGTGGTGGCCATGCTCCTCTGCCTAGGGTCATAGCACCTGAACTGTCCAAGACCCTTTACCCATAGATACAGCTCTCTCTAGGCACTACTTGCCATTATTCCTTTTCAAGTCTTGGCTGGTGGAGCTGCATCCCCCTATCATGAGACCCTGGTGCCTCCCATCTCTTATTTGTTCTCTTAACCCTGCCCACAACTCCATAAATAGTCTCTCTTATCACCCCTTTGAGTGTGTTGTTGTCTGTCTTCTGCTGGATTCTCACTGGAACAGCTATTATGGAATCCCTCTGACAGCATCAATCTAACAATCTGAATAATTTTTCCCATAAATAAAATTATTCCAGGTTTTCAAAACATTTCTATTTCCAAAGAATTAGAACTGGTTATGACTAATGTGGGGGATTTTACTCCTTTAAAAACAACCAAAATGAAAGGGAGTAGTTTGCATAATTTTTTTCCCCTAGGACACTTCTGCTATAACCAACTCTTATCACTGAATGATTTGGGTTCTGAAATACCTGTCATCGCCATCAGTGATGCACTCAGGGAAGGCGAGGCTACAGCCAAACAGCATGATATGTTGATAGCAACTGAGGCGATGGAGATATGTGAAAAACTTGAGGAACTTCTCCACTTCCATGTTTCTGACAACTGAGAGGAGAGGTGTCAGCGTGGCATGGTAGGGCAGCATTTGACATTGGCTGTGGGTGATGTTCATGCAGGCACCTGGGAAGTGAAGACAATTACATTTAAGAGTGGACACATCAGAAGTATATGTTTAAAAATTCATTTAATTTTTGTTTGTAAGATAAAACATAGTTCATAAGAACAATTTTAGATATGCAATCATACACATAAATGCATGTAAGTGTGTGTACATATATGATAAAGAAATCAAGCTACAAATATTTACAGCGGAAGAGCTTTTGTGTCCTGGGAAAATGTGTGGAAAATACATACTCTCCATACATAGCTGGTAGGCATACAAATTGACAATCACCTTTTCTTTTGGAACACAGCTGGGCAGAGAAATATGTATCAAAAAATATTTTCAACAAGTATATTCTTTGACATTGTCAGGTCATTTCTAGAAATCTATGTAATTATATGCTTAAATTTATCCTAAGGAAATAATCATAATTGTGAATGTGGATTTATCTATGGGGATATTGATTTCTATAGTTAATAATTTTTAAATGATAGAAATCATCTAAATATTCAGCAAAAAGAATTGTTCTAAAATATATGGAACAAACAACATAATATTTAATTTAGGTACATAAAAGATGCTTCAGAAGACTATTTAATCACATGGAATGATGTTCATAATACAATAAATAAAAGTAGGAAGTCACAAAACAATTTGTATACAATTATTTTTATTAAAAACACACAATTATGCAAAGATTTGTAATCCTGTCTATGTCAATAGTTCAGGAGCTGCTCAGAGCCTCTTTCATATCTGGCTCTTTTGGTTACCATCACATCCATAGCCTTTCCAACACTTTCACTCAAGAAATTTGCCATGTTGATATAAACAAAAATGTTGACATGGGTCCATATGATGGAGTTTTAGGAGATATTTATATTAATATGTAATACACCCATGTATTTTGACCACATCTTTTTATCAGTTTTAATTACATTATTTTCTTTAGGGACTTACACTCTTTAAGGAAGACCATGTTTGAAGCAATTACATGACCGAAAGTTTCATTCCCTCTACCTAGCCAAAGAAATCATTGAATATTAAGAGATCATTTGAAAAATACAAGGTAGAAAACATCCTAGAAATTTTCCCACATTAGCATTTGGAGAGCTTCAATTTTTCCTTTACTGCTGCATAATATTCCATTGTACGTTATATTGGAATTTATTTAAACAATCTCTCTTTAATAAATATTTTGACTGTTTTCAACCTTTTGCTACTGTATTGTTGTAATAAGTAACCTGTACATGTGATTCCCAGGAGTAGGATTACTGAGTAAATAGATCCAATTTCCCCATCATCAAGAAGTACCATTTTGCATTCTCACCAACAATGTATGAGGATGTCTGCTTTCTCACAGCCTCCCCAACAGAGAACAGTGTCAAACTTTTGGCTTTTTGCTAATCTGATATATGAGAAATTATATTGATTATATTAGATTTTTCATTTGCATTTAACTTGTTGCCAGTGAAACTGAGTAACTTTTCATATATTTAAGCGCCATTTGCATTTTGTCTTCAGTTTCATATGCTTGGAAGATTTTTCCTACTGACTTTTAGGCATATTTTTTCTACTTTTACAAGCTCCTTATTAGGGAGATTAGTGTACTAAAAATATTCTAACACTTTTTCTTTAGTTTCATGGTTTTGAAATTATTTTAAAGAGCTAATAATTATTTAAATCATTTATTTAATAGATAAATGTATTTTATTTTACTCTAATCCAACTATTGAAGATAAAAAATTTAAAAGGGGCTTTCTTTGAAAAGTAGCCAGGTCAGAGGCAGAGCTCAAAATCAAATCTGGAGTAAGATATCATAATATCTGACATTTGCGTACCCCTTGATAGTTTACAAACCACTTCAACCCTTATCTTTTAAGGTTGTATTAGGATGGTTTGGCTGTAGCGAAGGAAAACTGAATATAACAAAAATTTCTTTGCCCTGTAAAAGTCTAGATGAGTGGTCCAGGGAAGAAACATAAGCTCTTTATGTAGCCCTAACCTCATGGTCCAAGATAGTGAAGTCTATGGTCCAGATAGAAAGGTGGAGAGGCAGCAAAGAGGACAAAGGCATGCTTTTAATATTTCTTAAGAACAGTTCCAGCTGCTACAAGACTTTCCCGCATATATCCCATTATTGATAACTTCATCACATGGCCACACCTGGTTGCATAAGAGGCTAGGGTTATTCCAGTTTGACTTATGCCCAGATAAAAATGGAGAGTGGGGTCAATTACAAATGAAGGAGAATGGATATTGGTGTTCTACCAGAAACCTCTGCTAAAAAAATAAATAGAGAAAGTATCATTATACTCACTATAAAATAATAATTTTTTTTAAAAGCCAGGCACAGTGACTCATGCTTGTAATCCCAGAACTTTGGGAGACCAAGGTGGGTGGATCACCTGAGGTCAGGAGTTCGAGACCACCCTGGCCAACATGGTGAAACCTCTCTCTACTAAAAATACAAAAATTAGCCAGACGTAGTGGCAGGCCCCTGTAATCCCAGCTACTCGAGAGACTGAGGCAGAAGAATCGCTTGAACTCAGGAGGCAGAGGTTGGCTGTAAGTTGAAAGCATGCCACTGCACTCCAACCTGGGCAACAGAGTGTGATTTTGTCTCAAAAAAGAAAAAAAAAGGTACAATTATTTTTCTATTCAAGATGTTTGATTAAGCACATATCCTCCCTCCTGACACCTCACTAAAAAAAGAATAGTAAAGGGAAAAAAAGCATAAACTCATAGCAGCAAAGAACAAGGAGAGGGGCTTCCATCAGTGGATAAATATTTTTAGCAAATTTCCGGCAGCCAAAAAGAGCATGCAAGAAATCTGAAGTTTGTGGAAGAGGATGAAGTCAATCTGCCTAGCCGAACCTAGGAGAGGTTCCGGGCTTGAGTTGGCAGATAAGGCAGAGAAGAAGAACAAAAACTGGAAGTAAAAAAGGGAGACATTATAGATCTGTATGTAAAACAATTGCTATTCATTTCACGCCCACACACAGAATACACGACAGCCAGGAAATTATCACCATTAAAAAATAAAAATAAAAATATTCATCCATCTCTAAAGAAATTCCACAAGTGGTCTGAGCACTGAGAAAGCTGGTATGGCTATTGGTACCACAGATAAGGTTAATAATAACTGAAAATGTCATGCAGAAAAAATAGAAATAGTTCAAGAACAGAAGAGAACTTTTAAAAAAAAAATCATCAATAACTTCAGAGTAAAGTGACCATGTAATTGATCATCCTCCCTAAGACAATTTGGAGAATAACAATGAACGATTAATAACTATGCCAGGAAAATAAATATAAACCATGATGTCTCCTATGAACCAAGATATATAGATTCAAATAGGTATTGCATCCATAAATGAGAATAGGATGCTAAGAAAAAGAAAACTCAGAGAAAACCTTACAATTCACACCACAAAAATGCAAAGGATCGTAAGAGACTACTCTGAATAATTATATGCCAACAAATTAGATAACCTAGAAGAAATAGATAAATTCCTGGGCACATACAACTTACCAAGACTGAATCATGAAAAAATAGAAAATATGAACAGCCCAATAATGAGAAAGGATATTGAACCAGTAATAAAGTCTTCTATCACAGAAAAGACCAGGGCCTGATGGTTTCACTATTAATTCCACCAAACATTTAAAGAACTAATACCAATCCTTCTCAAACTCTTCCAAAAAAATGAGGGAAAGTGAATATTTATAAACACATTTTACAAAGCCAGCACTGCCCTGATACCAAAGCCAGACACTACAAGAGAAGAAAATTACAGGATAATAACTTTGATGAATATAGATACAAAATCTAACAAAATGCTAGCAAACCAAATTCAACAGCACATTAAAAAGATCGCTTACCATAATCAAGTGAAATTTATACCTCAGATGCAAGGATGTTTCAATATATACAAATTAATAAATGTGAGACACCACCTTAACAGAATGAAAGACAAAAACCATGTGACCATCTCAAAAGGCAGAAAAAAGTACTTGAGAAAATTAAACATCCTTTCATAATAAGACCTTCAACAAATTAGGTGTCGAAGAAATGTACTTTGACACAATAAAGGCCATCTACAACAAATCTGTTAACAACATACGCAATGGAAAAAGACAAAAGCCATCCTCTAAGATCAGGAAGAGAACAAAGATGCCTGCTCTTGACACTACTAATCAACTTAGTACTAGAAGTTCTAACCAGAGTAATCAGGCAAGAGAAAGAAATAAAAGCAACCAAATTGGAAAGAAATAAGTTAAACGGTCTCTGTAACAACATGATCTTTAGAAAAACCTAAAGATTCCGCAAAGAAACCTCTTAGAACTAATAAGCACATTCAGAAAAGCAGTAAAAGTAGTATGCTCAAAATCAACATACAAAAATCAGTGGTTTCAATCAGAAATGAAGGAGAGAAAAATAAAATTAAATTAAAAACAAACTAGTTATGCATTTATACATTAACAACAAACTGTACAAAAAAGAAATCAAGAAAACAATCCTACAATAGCTACAAATAAAAATACTTAGGAATAAATTTAATCAAGAAGGTGAAAGATCTTACACTGAAAATGATGAAGCATTGTTGAAAGAAATTAAAGAAAACACAAATAAGTAGAAAAATATCCTGTGTTTATGGTTTGGAAAAATTTATCTCATTAAATATTTATACTATCCAAAGTGATTTATAGATTCAGGGCAATACCTATCATAATTTTAACAACATTTTTCATAGTAATAGAAAAAAGTCCTAGAATAGAAAAAAGTCCTAGGAAACACACACAAAAAAATCCAAAAAAATCTTGAGCAAAAAGCAAACCAAAGATATCACACTACATCATTTCAAAATATACTACAAAGCTATAGTAGTCAAAAAAGCATGATATTGGCATATATACATATAGAGCAACGTAACAGAATGAAGACTCTAGAAACAAATCCACACATTTATGGTCAACTGATTTTCAACAAAGTTGCCAAGAATACACAATGAGGAAA